AAAAAAAATCAAAGAAAAAATGGTTTTTTTTATTGAAAATATTTTGCCATGGCAAACTTTTTTGTAATTGCCATGGACTTGCCATGGCAAATTTTTGCCATTGAATTGCCATGGGAAATTTTTGCCATGGAATTGCCATGGCAAATTTGCCATGGCAGAAATTTGCCATGGCATTTCTATAGCAAAAATTTGCCATGGCAAAATGAAAAAAAAATAGAGATTGCAATAAAAACATAACAATTGCACCAATAACATGTCATAGGATAAGTTTTAGAATGTTTTGTGATGTTTTAAAAAAATAATTGCCATGGCAAATTTGCCATGTCAAAAGTAGGAAAAATCTTGCCATGGCAATTCTAATTTGCCATGGCAAATTATTTGCCATGGAAAAATGCCGAAATGCCATGGCAAAACACACTTTGCCATGGCAAATGCAAACTTTCAATGCATTTTTACAAAAAAGTATTAAAGATAGAAAAACAAAACATATTAACTTTTAAACCATTTAGTAAATATGACAATTTAAGATAGTTTTCATTTTTTTAAAGCGCGTAAAAATAGGGGTTGAATTTGCCAAAAACTGGCGCGGCAAAAAGAAACCGGCAGCTATTTTTACATAGACCAGACCTTCGGAAGTTTTCCATAAAATAACATGTGATAACAGCATCATATAACATAACAGCAGGTAAATTAACAGTTACTTATAAAGTATGGTGCAAATGAAAACGGTTCCAGTATCTATCGCTCAACGGAAAAAGAATGCGGTGTTTAAATTCAGTGTTGTACGGTGCTCCAATATTCGAGTCAATAGGCCTTTTTTCAACATAAATATTCCCTAAAATTTACAATACAAACACACAATTTTGTATGGAACTTGACTAACCATAATGTATACACAAGCTCGTAGGGTCATAAAACAAATACATTGTTGTTTTAGCACATGTTTTTGTGACAAGTACGAGTCATGTTGAGGTAGACACGATCTTTTGTAAACACTATTTCTTCGAAGTATGTAATTTTTTGTGAATTGACTTTGTGTTGTGCTAGATTAACGATAAATTGTTTCAAAAATTCGATGGAGTACTTAAACAATTGAAAAAATTTTGCAATGTCCAGCAGTAAGATATTTTGTAAGCTATTACCTGCAATTTGGTTATCCCGCCATTAATATTTTGTCCAGAAATATACGATGTCTCGGTCAGAAGTATGATATTTTGACGTTGCACCGAAAAGTTGTGGTAAACGCCCTATCCCCGTGAATTAGATGATAAAAAAATGAAAAAATGATATATACCTGCTATTATTTTCTCATAATACAGAAAAGGCACAATATTGCCTCAAATAATCATTCGCAAAGAGTCTCTTAACCCTTTTTTCTAAAGAAAGTGTAGGAAAATATTTAGTGTTGTGAAATCTTTCGATAATTTAGTAGTGTTCGTTTACAATACGCATGCGCTGTAAAATTGGAGTAAATCAATTGGTAAGGTCGGCGTGACGTCACTTCCCGTAGAAACCGATATTCTAAAAATAGCCGAGGTGAAAACAATTACATAGTAACGAATGAAATTATCGTTAATAAGTGCTAAGCCTCCGTTTTTAATCAAATAATATCAGCCAATTATATATTCTTTTCTTTTCACTTATTTGTTTATCGTATTTACGTTGTACTGGTCAATGTTTCTAGCAAATTATTGATCGATATATATCTATTTAGGTGAAAACTTACAAATACCGAAATGTGTCATAAATATCCTACGATGTCACGAGAAGACCATGAGAGTGACATCTGATATTCTGTGTATTGTCGATGTTAATTTCGTGCATTGTCTCTTTTAAAAACCCAACACATCGTTAAATCATGCATGCATACATTAATAAAATCCAAATTATTTTTGTTTCTAAGAGTTTTTCTTATCCGTAGAGCTCTATCTGTTGGATAAAGATCTATATATAGATCTAGCCTCATAGTTTTAAGAAAATACTAAAGGACTGATCATAGACTTTCCGTTTTGCATTATAGTTCTAACATACGTAGATAAGTCTTTTAAAAAATATGAAAAGTGTACATCCCCAGGTGGGGTTGGGTGGATATTTTTGGGAGTTCGTTAATTAAATAGATACACTTTAAATGTTAAGTTTCAGCAATGTCTTTTGTTGAATTTTTATATGTGTTCTGCAGATAATATCTTTTTATTAATATTTACAGTTCAGCAGAGATAGATGAGCTGGTGTATTACACCTGTTGTGTTTCATGTGAATCAAAAGCTGGGACATACGTTTTAAAAGTAAAAATTGTATGTTGTAAGTGTCTATACAAAAGCAACAATGAAATATCACATACGTTTACAGGCTCACAACGTCTTCATTTCTAGTTTGGTACAAACAGTATTCCAAATTATGATAAAGGGCACCTGAAACCTTTTAATGAAGGCAAACTTTTTTTTAAAACATTCATTCAGTATATAAATCTTTTAATGGGGAACCACATCAATCCTGGGTAGCAGTATCGAAGAAGACATAATTCCGTCCCACTGTGATTGTAAAGTAGGGTAACAAACTACACGACAAATATGTAATTTACAAAAATTTAATCAAATTTACAATTTATGTACAACGACTGTAAAAAGATTAGTTTTGTCTCATATACAGTGCAAATATAAGTAGAAAGGATTCTGACACATAATAAAACAAATTAAATTGATTATAAAATGTGCATAAGCTGCATCTGGTGATTCCTTATTTTGTTGGTTTATTTTTATTTATTTCATTATTATGTTTTTAACATTAGCACAGTTAAAAAGACATTGTAAAATAAAATGGCCTTTGTATTAAATGCTCATGAACTAATGTGTTTCAATTATTATAATTTATTTTACCCTCATGTATTTATGATTGATATATAATCAATCTTACAAGCACATATCTGGCACAAGAACTGTGATTTAGATTTTAATTTCTTATCGAGGCTAGGATTACAGTTCAAGTATGGAGAAAAAAGTATCATACTGTTGTACTTTTTTACGAGGATTGACAATAAAAGAAAAATAAGTAATGAAAATATATATATACATTAAATTTTGTGTTCTTATTTCATATGTTGCCATTTTTACCCTACAACAGAGACCTGTATTACATTTCATTTCACAACACGAAGCTCCAGTAAAGACAAAGGATTTGTTATTTATTAAAACATATCTTTTATCTCTTAATCAGTTCAGATAATCACAATTAGCAAATAAGTAATAAACATGTGGTCCAATTAAGCCCTCCGGAATGTCACATGATGCCCTAGGGGTGGTTTATTGTATTTGAAAAAGATACTAGTGGTAATCTGACTAATTAATACACAGCTAGGGTGCCAATTAAGTATTTTTAAAAAGTGGTTTACTGTCCATTTGAAACTGGTTGGAACTGGTTTGATCAGTACTTAATCGGTTCCCCTGTAAGAAAAATAAAAGTCATTAATTCAGGATGATACAAATATTTTTTAATAGCTTTAATAGATATTTTGTCTAAATACTTAATAGAGATTTTGTCAAACTATAATAAGTAGCATCTACTTTGAAATACATTCATCCATACTTTATGCTTAATATTTTTAATATACTTTTCAATTTTCTTTGATTTCTAAAAAATTATCTAACATATGAGGTTAATGTGACGAGAATGTTATACTGACAGAAAAAGTGTTGACTCTAGGACAGGGCCGAATTCGGATAGTGCATATAAGTATTAAATTTATTATTTCGATCATTGTTAATAAAACATTCGATTATTTAATATGCAGTAGAGATGCTATATATATAATCATTATAAACTCCACTTAAAAAGCATTTAATCAATTATTTGAATTACGAAAATGCCATATAATTCGTAGTAATAACCTAGTAATTTCGTGAGTGACATAAACGTCATGATCATTGCATAATGCTATTGATTAACTAGAAAAATAGTTTTAATGAACAGTTGTGCGGTCATATTTTTATATTATGTAAATTTAATGAATGAATTTCAATACATAACGAAATGCTGACAGTAAATGTATATATATATGTGTATTTGGAAGAAGGCAACCATTTGAGCATCACGCCAAATCCACTTCTCTATCGCCGTATCGACGATCCTTGTTTCTAATCACATCTGGTAAAGTATTTTATTATATTTTTCTTTCTTCCAAATGAATATTGCATCCAGCAACACTTCAAATCGTTGGCATGGCGAAAAATATTCAATTATTCGTTCAATTCTACAAAATGCAGCAAAAAACAACGACTGTCGCTAAATACAAAATGGCGTATGTTTTCACCTCGGCTTATTGCTAGGCAACGCTCTTCAGTAAAGTGCCCGGATATCCGACCTGACCAATATGGCGGAAAATAGCCCCGGATAATATTTTCTCAAAATTTGAAGAAATTGCGGTAAGTATTTTGAAAAGCTTGTAACTAATAGATAAATTATTTTTTACTTGAATGAAATGTTAACATAACAAGTCAAAAACAATTAACTCTCTTAGGTAAATTACCAATGTTTTATCAATTGAAAACGAAAGTTGGATTTTGGGGAATTTCCGCGTGAGGCTAATAATCTTAAATATCAACCCACATTAATTAGACTTTTATTAAGCTCTTCCTTAAATGAATTTATAATATTGATTAATAATTGCAACAGCTAGTCCTATTGTATGGGGTATGATTATTAAAATGTGTGTGTACCGAAAACGAAAGTAGAAAATGGCAAATTGTTCGCGGTACGTTACGATACCGAAATCAACTTGATTTCGGTAAAGTTACCGAAATCAACTTTTCATTACCGAAATCAACTTATAAAATCTCAATTAAGCGTTTTATTATATTTTTTTCATAATAATATATTACAATAGGTTAAGTTTGACTTTCATGCAAAAAATCAGTTCGAAATAATTATTTATAATGAAGTTAGAAACAAATAACTAAATATCAAGATTATACTCAACATCACTAATTCCGCGTCATCACTTATCTCACGGTTATGGCATATTTTCATGTGACCATTGTTATAATTGGTCAGAATTGACATATTTTATTCAAACACTTGAACAACAAAGTTTTTGTACAAAATAATTTAAATCTACTGATTTTTACGTGAAACTGAACAACATTTTACAATCTTCTGCAAAAAACAACGATAGTCCATTAAATTTGTGCATACGTCTGAAACAATTGTCATTTCCTAAATGTCTTGTTTGTTGAAAAAATAAATTTTGAGTTACAATGAAAAAATACTTTTAATATTTAAAATTATGCAAAATAACTTAAAGAAATTTTAACTGAAACATGAAAAATCTGAAATAAAACACCATTACCGCGAGGTAAATGATGACATACTGTTTTCAAAATGGCCGACACACGGTTTACATCTGACAAATTAAAACTAATTTTGATTGAATATATTGTTGTTTCCTTGTGTCATATAGCAGAAATATGACTAAATGGTACAGTTTATGACAGTTTTTGTAGTATAAGTATATTGTTTGTGTTCTTTACTGTTTTAAAAGTGTTAAGTACCGTGAACTAAGAGGAGCACAGTATACTTCCCTGATTTGTCACGAACCGAAATATATGTTACCATACAGAAATCGGCTTGTTAAAGTTAAAACACGGATTTGTAAATCCGTGGTTAAAATAAACATTTTAATAGATATTGTTTAATTAATTAATATAAAGTCATTCAAACTGAACCATAAACAAAGGAAAATAATATTTAATTATAAAAATGATGATGTTATAGACGGATATGTATATATTTTTTAATTTTATCCATGAAATATGGTGCCTGATAGATTATACATTTTTTATGGAACATTTTTAGAGCAGTCGAATTATATATCTGTATTCAAATTTATAATAGAAAATCATAAACTTCCGGTTGAAGTTGGATATTTTTTCTTCATAAAAAATAAACATGTACAAAATTTATAAATATCTTTAACTCATATTACAGAATATTTTATTTTTCCATCATAGTCCGATCATAGCTTTTTAAAAATACGATTTGATTAGAAAATTGTTATGCACGACAATCACGTGCAGATATATAACATGCTAATATGGCGGTATCAGACTTTTTCTTAAATCATTATATACATTGCATTCTAATATGAAATGGTATTCATGAAAAAAATACATCACATGAAAAACATTTTCTATCATTTAAATGTGTATTATTTGGTTTAGTTAATCTACCTGATTCTATGATTGTGCAATCTATGAGATGATACTCTTAACCTAGTGAGATCTTTTCAAAACCGTTCAACATTGATAATATTTAGATATGGTTGAAACTTAAAAACAGAAATATGTCTATAAAATAGAGCTCTACTAGAGTTATCTAATCTATTATCTACTAATTATATACATAATTTAAACTTCACAGCTGATTTCGGTAATGCTAAACACATAACGGGTTGTTTAGAACAAAGGGAAGTAACTCAATAATTACATTTTTGTTAATAACATCATTAAAATACAATATTTTCAATAGATTTTTTAACTGAAAGTCTATTTCATTATTTTTCATCAAATAATAAAGAAATAATAGCAATATTTTAACTAGTTTGGTTTTTACAAGTTGATTTCGGTAATGAAAAGTTGATTTCGGTAAAGTTGATTATATATATATTACATATTATTGATTGTTTTTAGTAATTCATATTATTTTAATGTTACTGAATAATTTTGTTTAATTAGCTCATATTTTTGAGTAATCATAACTGCAGAATAGCTTCAAGTGTCAAATTTATTAGCATCATTGCTAAATGGCCATTTATAAAGAAAACACATGAAGTATGGCAACCGATTCATATTCATTTATTATTATATTTATTTTATTTATTTATTATAAATAAATTTAATTTTCATACAATTATACCATTTTAATTGTGAATTATCTAATCAATATGAGATAACTGTTGAATAAACAACCAATCAACATGTTGCATAAACAGGGTGACATGCAATAAAAACTTAATAATACTAAAAATAATTAATATAAAACATATATAAGCATTTTGTTGTTTATCAAACTTGTTTTTATTTAATTTATAGAAAAAAAAATTGGATGAGGGTGAAGTGTCTTACTGATTTTGGGGGGTGAAGTGTCTTAAGGGTGAAGTGTCTTCAAAATTTGAGGGGTGAAGTGTCTGGGGAGTGAGGTGTCTTGCTTTTTTTATCGTTTTATAGTATAAATATTTCAGATCTAGTAAGCTGGTAAAAAATATAATGTTATATTAAATAAATTGTCAAAAGATCTGTTTTAATTAACATGTAGGGGTGGTCGCTATACGTTTCCGTAGAAAACATTACAAGGTGCTTTGATATTAATACAATTGCATATCATTTTGTCCAAATATGTATGCATTATTTTGATGTCCCGGATACTTTATAATATATTAAATAACTACATATTCTACTTATTGAAAAGTTGTAAGTCATGATTTATGTTGATCGATTTATAATCATTTTAAATTTCATATCTGTAAACAGCATATATTTATGGATTGATGATTATAATTTATATGATGGAAAAATGGAACATTTTAAACTGACAAATTTCAATTATGTAATGTTGTAACTTGTTACGATATGACTGTTGTGTTATTAACTGTATTAAGTAAGGTGTGAAGTAATTAAGACAGGGAGGGGGTACAGTTGACATACAATAAATGTATGTTAAAGATAAAAAGATTATAATGAACCATTGGTTTATTTCGTAATAAACATTTAAATGAATGACTAAAATAAAAAATATTATAATAAAGAGTCCCATAACATATGTTAGCGATTTGTTGAATATATAGTTTAACTGTTCAAATAAAGAAAGACACAAATTTCCAATTCCAATTTTACTGCCTGATGACATATACAATGTTTTATGGAAATTTTTTAGAGCAGTCTGAATTATATATCTGTATTCAAAAACTCATAAAACTAAACAAGTACAAAATTTATAATTAGATTTAACTCATATTACAGAGTATTATATTTTTCCATCATAGTCCGATCATAGCTTTTTAATAAAATACTATTTGATAAGAAAATTGTTATTGCACGATAATCACGTGCAGATATATAAACATGCTTGTGCTAATGTCTTGTAATAAATGGTTGCTGTACATACATAATTTTTCTGTACCAATATCTCTAAACCTGCAAATATATTTTATTGCTAATGACTTAAAGTAATCAACCCCTGTTCGAAAAGTTCATTTCATAGGTTAAAGAATATTTTTTTACTTCGTTCATTAAAACGTGTACCGTGTTAAATGAATATATAGTCACTTTTTCATATCCATGTTCATATTCTATTATAATCGGTGGAATAGAATATGTTCTGTTCGTTATAATTATTTCGGCAAGTTCCCTTGTACATTAATATAGGCCCGAATAACATTTATTTTATTGTTGTTTCCTTGTCTATGAATGCTTTACACGCATCATTGTTCTCTTTATACTCAAATATGTACATAATTAAACATAAGTTAACATTTTATTTACCCCCCCCCTCCTTTTCGTGCTATTATATCTGAAATTATAGCACGTGAAATAAGCAAATCATTGACAGCGCACGTTTAGTAGTTATTTATTTAGTTATTTATTTAGTTATTTGTTTATTAATTACTTTATTACAATTTACTGAAAAAAAAAGAAAAAAAAAGAAAAAGAAAAAAAAGATGGGCAGATCATGAAGAGAGCGCTCCCAGATATTACACGCGATATACTATTCAGTTGCAACTGAACGCTCTCATCAATGCAGTCGGGTTCTTCTTTAATTTCAAAAAACTTAAAATTATTAAATAATCACTATATATGTATTAATACATGTATTTTAATATACATAATTTAAACTTCACAGCTGATTTCCGGTTAATTTGCTATACATATAAGGGTTGTTTAGAACAAAGGGAAGTAACTCATAATTACAGTTTTTTGTTAATAAACATCATTTAAAATAAAATATTTTCAACTAGATTTTTTAAACTGAAAGTACTATTTCACTCAATTTTCATCAAATAATGCAAGAAATCAAATAGCAATGTTTTAACTAGGTTGGTTTCTTACGAGTTGATTTCGGTAATGAAAAGTTGATTTCGGTAACTTTACCGAAATCAAGTTGATTTCGGTATGTATACGTACCCAATTATCTCCCCTTGTTTTATACATTTATTAGAAAAAATTTATAAGCAAAATTAAGCAAATAATAATAGAAGAAATATAACGGGAACGTATCCCTCTTAATAAACGCATATAATAACAACCTTGATTCAAATATTAGCCAGCAGGGCATTTTCTTTCAAAATTGTAAAAGGGGCCGGACCTGTTATTTTGATAAAAAGT